GGCCTCTCTCCAGGAGTCTTTCCACTTTTATTCACCTCTCCCATTCATCACAGGAGGGTCAAAGCCACTTGGCATTTCACAGGCTGGGACCCAGGGCAAATAAATACAGAATTGTCTGGGACAGGACAAAACACAAAGTTCAGGTCTGGACCAGAACACTCTTAGAGTTCTGGACCTTATCTACAGCAATCCTCAGGGTACTGCAGAAATTCAGCAGGGGCCTTTGTTGCCTTTGCTACACCATGGGTAGTCAACTCATTACCAGCAATGTGGAGTAAGAACCTGGGAGATTATGGACATACCAATTACTGAACTTCACTTTGCTCCAGTCATCCCCTCTTGCCTGCTCACTGCAGGGGGCTTGGACTAGGTGACCTTCAGAGGTCTCTTCCAACCCCAAACATTCTATGATTCTATGAAGATGACAATCCAATTGTTTTATACTGAAGATTAAAAAACAATGTTTTATGGATAAAAGGAAGAGGAATGTGCATTCCACTATGGTCTCTGACTCCCAGGCCCTTCCCTTTCACAAGCCAACTGCTTTCCCCCAGTGAGTATTTCCTGGGTCATGAAGGGTGACCCTTTCCATCTGGAATCAATCAGTCAACTCCTGACAACTTCCTGAAACACCTCACTCCATTTCCTGTTCTCTCCCCCTTCTCTCTTTCCCCCTGGTTTGCTTCACTCTTCAAAACTGCAGGCCACAGCAGCTTAATGTTAGAGGGTCAGACACAGTTAGACTCCAAAACACTACACAAGAACACCTTTGACCTTCAAAAATCTTTACATCTTAGCTAAACAAATCAAGGTCAACGTTTCTTACCATTACCTTGTTAACCATTTCTATGCATTTTTGCCAATACCTTTCTGAACATGTATTTATCAATAACACTTGTTCTCCTAACTTCATAAAATATCCAAGGCCTTCTCTTAAAAAAAAACCCCAACCAAACCCATCTTCAGTGCTGGTGAAAGGTGATGTGCAAACTTCCCTGGAGATTTAAATTCTCAGATTTGTCCACAGCTCTGGCAAATTACTGGCAAATGGTTCTGGTGAGTTTTCCTTTCCCTGATCTGACAGCACTTCTTCTGGTGCATGGTAGTTTGCCTTCCATGCCTATTCAACTGATGGTCTTTATACCAAAAATCAGTAGTTAATGCAAAATGTCATTCTAATGAAATGATTTGAGAACATCAAAGCACATCAGGTAGGCCATGGATTCTGGTAATTGTGGCTGAGGGCCAAATTTGACAGAGACAACATAAAGACTGAAGATTTTCTGCTGCCCAACAGCTGGATCAACCCATCATCTCTGCTGGAGCTTCAGAAGACAACCAACCAAGCAGGAAACAGACAGGGCAAGGTGTCATTCCTTCACCCATCCAAACTCTTCCACCTCTAGGAGCAGTGAGAGAGTTACAGGCTGCCAAGAGCTGTTCTCAGCAGTTCTTCAGAATCTCTCTGCAGACGTGGGAGGGTCTTGTTATTACCTATGGAGCAACAGCCATAAACCAGTGACTCCCCAGCAGTCCTGAGGAAATGCATGTGCTGTATCTCCACGTTATTTTTGTTTCCCAGATGGATTTCTGTAATGAAATCCCTGCTCAGAAACCACAAGGAGGGTTCACCTACTGTGACATTCAGACAAACTGTCTTTAGCACATTAAACTCGGGCTCTCTGAGCTGCACTGCCCCTCTTTCCCTCCCCTGCACGGTTCAAAGTGTTGTATTTCTTTACAGACCTTTACCTGAGTACTAAACTTTTCCTCCTCCATCTATACATTATACCAATCTTTCTATATTCTAATGTACACTCCTCTTCAAACCACAGATATGCAAGTAAATACACATCACCACATACATAAATGCTGTATCACTCATAGACACCTATTTAGACATATGGTACAAACATTCCAGGCATACAGGCATTTACTTACATGTAACATATCTCATCACTGTGTAAATGATCTCTCTCAAAAAATTCCTGTTACCATTCCAAGTGTGGAAAAAATTCTTTATGACATTGTACATCTGGAAACAATATCACATTCCTGATGCACTTTCCCTTGTAACTCTCTAGTCACAGCACCATGTTATTTTAACTTTTCAAAAGAATAACTACTATGAGGATTCTAAAAATTATCATCATTATTATTATTTTCCAGCTGAGTGGAAGAAAAGATGTCAGGGCTCATCCTGCTGTCTTCACTTGGACAGGGCTCCCATTGATGTCAATGGGCGTCTTGGTGTAGGGAGTAACACAGGAGTAGATGCTAGAATAGAATGTGTTTGCTTCAGAGTTGGATTAAGAATAAGATAAACAATGTGAAAAATGCCAGCAGCCTCTCTCTGCTCAAAACTTCCATTGAAATCTTTGGGAATCCTCCCCGAGACCCTTTTTTTCCAAGACAGAAAAAACTGTGCACGTGGCCTTCATTTCAGGAATGGGGCCTCCTAAGATTATAGGGGCAGGGGGCTAGGAGATAACTCCTGGGTCACTGACATCTAGGCTCCTTCTGTTACAGACAACCAAACCATGCAGCTACTTCTATAAAATTGTCTTCAGCTACTTCAGGCTTTTGCTGTTGGTAGTCCTCCTCTTTTCAAGCCTATGTGTCCTGATGGGTAGGGAATTTATGGTTTACAGACTAAATTTATTCCTAGTCAGTTTATACTTAACATTAGCTTCAGAATGATTATTTCCCATCCTGATCTACCTCAGGATATTTTTAGACAGCAGTTACATCCCTTTTCAGTGCATGTCACTAAAAAGCATTTGAGCCAGGCTCTCATCCACTTCCCAGTCACCTTACTGACCCATTCCTGTACCTGCTCCAATTTTGTTTTCAGACTTTTGAATGCAGTTAAACCAGCACATTATATTCCAAACAAGAAACCTGTGGGTTACACTGGTACAAACACATCCTTCTTTCCACTGGTAAAGCTCACCTGAGACACGGTAGAATCTGAACAGTGGTTTGTTTTGAATGGAAGATACACAGCTCTGGCAACTCACTGTCACAATGGTTGGTTGGTCTTCAGATCTGAGCACACTGAGATCCTTGAGTCTTTTTCTTTGGCAGTTTCAGTCAGTCCTTCCCTTACTCATATGGAATTCAAACTGACATCACCTTTTGTAGGGTCAGTACTAGCTGATGAAGAATTCTGCCACCCAGTAACAGCTACAGACTCTGCTGATACTAATTGCATTTGTTTTGCAATCTATACCTGAGAAACTGGTCTCCCATAACGACACCAGTCCCT